TCAAATGGCAAGTTAGCTTTTTGGGGTATGTAGTGTGGGAAGAAGGTATCCGCCCGGATCCAGAGAAAATTGCCGCTGTCAAGGAGTGGCCGGTTCCAAAAGACAAGACACAGGTTAGAGCATTTTTGGGTTTGTTCTCTTATTATCGGCGATTTGTGAAGAACTTTGCAGATATAGCCAAACATCTGCACAAGCTAACCGAGGAGAAGCGACATTTTTGCTGCGATGAAAGTTGCGATATTATATTCCAGGAGCTCAAGAACCATCTGTGCAAAACACCTATTTTGGGGTACCCTGATGCGGGCAAGGAATTCATAGTTGACACAGATGCAAGTGATATAGGACTTGACGGTGTGTTGTCTCAATGGAATGGTGATTGTGATAGCGTACTTCAGCAAGTCGTTGTCAAAGCCGGAAAGGAACTATTGTGTCACAAGACGGGAATTGCTTACTGTGGTAAAGTCCTTGCAGCATTTTAGCAAATATCTTCTGGGGCAGCAATTCCACTTACGAACTGACCATGCTGCACTAAAATGGCTATTGCAGTTCAAAAATCCGGAAGGAAAAGTTGCGCGATGGATTGAACTACTGCAGGAATACGACTTTGTAATCGAACATCGCAGCGGGAAATCTCATGGCAATGCAGATGCTTTGTCAAGAAGACCTTGCCCTGAAGATTGCAAGCATTGTACTAGGCAAGAGGGTAAGGAAGTGGTATCTGTGAGGATACTCAGGACAGACCAGCTCAGCAATGAGTGGAAGGACAGCCTACAACATGCACAGCAGGAAGATTCGGACATTAAGCCGGTTCTGGAATGGATGAAGGCCAGTGCTCCTAAACCCAAGTGGAGCGACGTCTCAGCGATGAGTTCGACCACGAAAAGCTATTGGGCCCAATGGGACAGCTTGCTGATTTAGGATGGAGTCCTGTGCCGTAAATGGGAAAATGGTCGGGGAGACAGTTGTCATTTGCAAATGGTTGTCCCTAAGGCTAAAGTACCGGATGTTCTACAGCTGTACCATAGTGGTTGTTCAGGAGACCACCTGGGAGTTAAACGAAATCTACTGAAGATCCAAGAACGGTTTTACTGGGTCCACTGTCGTGACGATGTCGCGGACTGGTGCCGCAAATGTGCAATTTGTGCGGCTGTAAAGGGACCTCAAATTCGTAGTAGATGCGCATTGAAATTGTATAATGTTGGTACACCATGGGAGAGGATAGCCATTGACGTTGCGGGGCCGTTTCCGGAAAGTGAAAGTGGTAACAAGTATTTCATGGTTGTGATGGATTACTTCACTATGTGGCCAGAAGTCTTCGCCATTCCAAATCAAGAAGCTTCAACAGTTGCAGATAAACTAGTTCATGAAATCTTCTGTCGTTTTGGAGTACCCTTAGAGATTCACAACGATCAAGGAAGGAATTTTGAGTCTCAAATATTCCAGGAAACTTGCAGAGTTATGGGTACTCATAAAACACGAACAACTTCTTACCACCCACAATCTGATGGAATGGTAGAACGATTTAATCAGACATTGGAAAGGTACGTCCTAAGCTTCAAGCTAAATGGAATGGACCGTAGCGGAATTTGACAAGGATCAATGACGTAACCTACCGGATACAGAAAGGTGCCAGAGGTACTCCTAAGATCGTCCATGTGGATCGACTGGCGCGTTATTATGGGGCCAATAATGCTCGGGACGAGCATGTTTTAGGAGGGGACAGTGTTGCGCGCCACTATTAATGTCTTGTACATGGCAACACTAGTTACACTAGCGCCCTCTAGTTTTGAGTAGCAGAACTAGGAGAGTCAAGATCCTTCCAGAAATTTCGGGACCGATATGTACTCGAACATTCTAGATGTCGCTACAGTAGAAGGTTCTGGAAACTATCTGAGGCCCTATATAAGGCCGTTATAGACCACGACCAAGGCAGTATTGAATTGGCAAGCCAAGAGAACACTTCGAAGCGAAATAACTGCGAACTAAAGTGATTGTGTTTTATTATTAGTGTGGTTTTAGATTGTAATTAGTGTTGTGTAATTAAAGTGTCAATTTTGGTAATTCAATCGGCAGTTTTTAATTGTCTCGCACCCCAAGCACGTAACAATATGATATACTTTTAAATAAACGTCATTACATTGGTGTCCGTGTAGCTCATAAGTGGTATGCTTCCTTTCTCAGAAATAATTATTGAAACAGAAAATTTAGATCAAGGTTCAAAAATCATAACATGTTCAGACGATCTGACGGTCAAGGGCCCAGCCGGTGCGGGACTCTATCCCTTAGGGGTCCGTACTCGGATGTGTTCTCTTCCTTATTTACATCAATGACCTCCCGAAGATTATTAATGAGCATTGTGTGATGTTTGCCGACGATTTCTCCGTTGTGTTCCCTTGTATCAATGGTACCAAACTTAAAGAATGGAGACAATTATAAACAAAGTAAAACAGTGGCTAAGCAATCATAATTTAGAAGTCAATTTCAAAAAGAACTAATCTTAAACAATTCAGACCACGACAAAAAATGAATTAGATATAAATTATATATATATATATATATATATGATCAAACAAAATTAGAATGTGTTACAATTTTTCTTTACTGGGTATAAATATAGATTTAAATGTTAATTTTAAATCAAATATTCAGTAAAATAAGTAAAAATTATCACAATTTATACATACTTTAAGAGAACTAAAAAAAAACTACAAATATAAAAACGGCAGTGACAGCCTACCACGTCTTTGGAAAAGGGTGACTAAGCTATGACATCATACTATTATCGTTAATTAAATAACTGGTGTGTGATAATTTTTCATGTTAAATTAATTATTTAATGTACTTAATATTAATTATGTTGCGATCTCCACCCACAACATACTCGTCAAACCCAAACTGCTGAGTGAATTACCGAAATTGACACTTTAATTAAACAACACTAATGACAACTTAAAACCACACTAATAACAAAACACAATTGTACTACTGATCACTTTATTTCGCAGTTGTATCGCTTCGAAGTATTTGCCTGTATTACCAATTCAGTACTGACCCCGGTCGCGGTGTATACCGGCCTTATATCGGGCCTCAGATAATTTCCAGAACTTATACTGTAGAAACATCTAGAATATTCGAGTTTGCGGTGGTCTTGTTCTTCAAGAAAGGCCACAACGCTCTCTAGAAGAACTACAGACCGATTTCCCTTCTGAGCTGCGTCTACATGCTGTTTTCGAGAGTCATTATCATATATCTGTCATTAAAATAGTGTAATAGTGGTGTATGGTGTCCACTATTAACAGACTCCGAGTGGTTTAGGGGCGGAGAAATAAAACTATTTTTTTGATGTGCAGACGAATGGAGTATGGAGTATATTTTATTCAGCTAACTCTGCCTACATTTATATGCCCGGCTACGTCCTTAGTTTACCAATAGTAAAATATTTTATTTGCTTAGCCAATTACAATACATACATTTTGACCAATAAAGATTAATAAAAATATTATGTACAACTATTATGTGTCGCGCTCTACTCTCTACAAATATTATGTGCAGACAGGCGCGCGCGCGTAATCGGCGAGCGGCGGCGGCAAGAGGAAGCGAAGCTGCGGCGTTGAAGAAACGGCTCGAAAATGGTCGAAGGATACGTGAAAGTAGTCGGCGTGTGAAGACGATGCGGTGCTGATGATATTTGTGGCGGCTTCTTGTTTCTATATTAGAACGTTAAATATATATGCCACATTATCTCGCATCGATATGCAGCCCGCAGTATCTCAGTAGCCGGGGGTAATTAGGAAATAAATGTTTTCTTCAGACCTTCACCTTTTGCGTTATGGTAGCTGCAGGGTACATTATTTATTACGGTTTAGGGTTGATTAGCCTGGCTGCTACAATAGCAAATATTATTAAAATATTTCAAAATACATTGGTGGTTACCGGTTAACGGTAAATCACTAAACAAGACTACATCCCTAGCTGTGATAACGCTATATACTACAGTTTGCTTAAACGCACAGACTAATATGATGCTACGTATCTTATACGTATTCAAACAATTTTTATTTATAATAACAAAAAATAATACTTACCGCCATTGTATTTTCCATAAGTTTTCACACTATTTTTAAATTAATATGTTTTAAAATTTAAGCGATTTCTTTTTTTTTTTAATGATCGTGAACATTGATCAAAAGTCTTAAATGTGCAAATTTTCTGATTCTGTCAACACAGTTATTATTCCTTCCCTTTCTTTTCAGAAGGAGACGATCTGTAAAGGTTCGTTGTAAATCCGTCGTTCTTGCCTTGGAATACAGTTTGATTTTATATAATATAATAATTAAAATTTAAAAATTTTGTACAACCAACTTCAATATAAATTATTAAGAATAACTCAAAAACTGTTGGTTAATTCTTGATCAAATTTATATGGAACGTCATGGGAAGCACCAGCTTTCAAATAAAAAAAAAAGAATCATCGAAATCAATTCACCCAGAAAAAAGTTATGAGGTAACACACATAAAAAACGTACAGTCGAATTGAGTACCTCCTCCTTTTTGAAGTCGGTAGAAAATGCTTTTGTAACATTTATTTATATAAGCAAATGGGGTTTCCAGTAGTGATAATACGACGTAATCGCTTGTATGTGTGCTGCCGGCGACACCGGTTCTCGTACAGAATAAGGTTGACAGCCATTCTATTGTGTATTATAATATTCTATGGTGTAGAATCACACGATTTGTTCACGAGACAGTTATATTGTATACAACTGTCTCGCGGATAAAATAAAGTTTTAATTAGCGCAATCGAAACTGCTATGTGACAAAAATATAAAGACGAGGGACTAATCTAAATAGCTCCATCATGCTACTAAACAGAGTTTTCACGATTAATGAATACTTCAGAATTGGAAATTTCAGAATATCGTGTAATAACAATGCACAGTTTAAATTAATACACAATCAAAGCCGTTTTAGAAAGGTTCAGATGAATAAAACAACGCGATGTAAACAATCGTTTTAATTTCGTGTCTATCAAAAGAAATTCGACTGATTTTCGATCATTCGTCAATTCGTCGTATAAACTATAATAATAATAATATATTTTATTTACAGTAATCATAATAATATACGCGGTGCGAGGAATCTGAAATCTGGCAGTCCGTTGAGACGTGGAGGGCGCGAGGGGGGTGTCTCAGCGGGGGGGCGGCGGGCGCGGCTTGGCGGTCGCGTACGCGATCTCCGAGAGGCGCACGTCGATGGGCGCGCGCTCGTCGTACAGCGTCGGCGCCTGCAGGATGATGCCTGCAGACCCCACCACAACTGCCAGCGTGAAGATCCACAGGAAGAGCCGGTCTAACACCATCGCCACGTACTTCCAATCTTCTTTCACCTGTGCGTCAACCAACGCTTTGAATTTAAATGAGTATGTTTTTTATATTGACGGCTGCGTGGTGCAGTGGCTTAGCAATGAGTTGCAGCTCTGGGGTTGTGGGTTCTAATCCCACATGGAACAAGTATTTGTATGGTCTGCAAATAATTTTTCCGATTCCGGATGATTTTTCTTATGAAATTTATGTTTGTAAGCTGCCTCCACGATACAGAAGAAAATTTTAATATGATGGTAACGTTTTTCAAAAAAAAAATTTATATGAAAGGCAAAAAACGAGGACACAGTCCACCTGATGGTAAGTAGATGCTGTGGCCCATAGAAATCTACATCTACTCTCAATTAAGAATCCAAATGCAGATGTGTTGTCACTCTTGGGGAAGAAGATGGAATGCCTCGTATCCAGTAAAAAGGGTCTCTGGTTCTCTACAATCGTCATACGAAGTACATCATCATTAAGTTGCTATTTTACGCTGGTATTCTATGAGAGCGTCGTCCTTCCCCGGCCGAGTTGCCCCATTCATTCCATAACATAATATAACTGCAGCATGGCTCTACCACGTATAAAACCAAAAACTGATAGACTAGTATTACGCATTTTATCGCGTTTTTTTAAACTATTTCATATGCCCGACATTTCGTACTTTACAGCATCTAGGGTAACGGAGAAGCTAAAGTGTCCGACGTCCTTATGTTAACCATAACTATTTACAGCTTAAAATAAATAATTTTGGTCCGATCTACGTAAGAAAAACTTTATGTGTCTTGAAGTCTTGCAGTTGTATGCTTGGGTTGGAAATTTATTTTATTATTTATACGATCCCAGGCAGATGGCACACCCATTTTCACTATTTAAATTAGGATTCAAACATCGTGAATATAAAATAAGTTAATAAATCGTGACGAAATCATAACGTACGTTTTCATTGCAAAACTATATTAATTACAAACGAATGTAAAAGGTGAAAGGAAGGCGACTTTACGTTTCGGCCATTTTCGTCATTTTTGTCGCTTTCTACGACTATTGTATTTAATACAACAAAATTCAAATCCGAAATCTCATGATTGCAAAGTATAATAGTTAACAATATTTTGAAAAATTATAGCTTGTAGACTTTGACAAACCCTGACTGATGAAGCCTAAACCATATTGAAAACAGAGCAGCCGCTAATTATTGCAGTAACATATAAATGGATTTTGCCTTACTGATATTGAGTAAAGTTATAACTCATAGCGACAGTTCTAATAATGTGTATACAAACTAATTATTACAACATAATATCGTCAAAATTACGTACTACGCTGAAATATCCCAATTTCTTCATCTCCATTTTTTCTGTACTTTGTTTAATACTGAATACGTTGATAAAAAGAAGGTACTGGTGCATGAGTTTTCAAGACTTAGCTGAAGAGATCAACATATCTTTTAGGTCCGCTTATCTAATCGATATTATTAAATTCCAGTCACCCACCTCGGCTTCACCTAAATAGAATCTATTAATGTAGCGTTTAAGCTAATCAAAGACCGTTCATTTTATACATTTTTTTTAATTTTCAGTTTTTTGATAAAATATAGCATACAGGAGGAGGTATCCTGGTATTACTCTCAATCTGCTGGTAAATTCTCATCACAATCAGTTTAGCCATTCCGAAGATGAGCCCAAACAGACAGACAGACAAACAAAAATTTAAATAATGGTTGTTTGTCTTAATCCCTTGAGCTTAACCGAAGCCTTTTATTTGAAAATTACAGACAGACACTTCAATTTCATTTATATGTAAAGATTAAATAAATTGAGCCTGAAAATATTCAATGTGAATTACCCTAGTAGACTCCTCCTCCTTCCGCGTTTGGTCAGCGATATAGTTGATGCCATCGATGGCCTTGTGAAGTTCGGGACAGCGGTGCCAACGGCGCAGCGTGTCGCAGAGTGCGGACGCGTCTTGTACTGGCGCTGCGTGTGCAGCGTGTGGCGTGGCGTGCGGCGTGGCGTGTGGCGTGGCGTGTGGTGTGGCGTGTGGCGTGGCGTGCGGCGTGCAGTGCAGCCGACATGCGCCCGACGACGCCTCCACGCACGTCAGCTCCATCGCTTCACGCGCCACGATGCCCGCGCTACGGTTAAAACACTGCTTTACCTACCTACTTTCCATTTTAACACGTTTTTATTAAATCGCCTTTACTTTTGATTAACTCGTTGCTTTAGTGGTAGAAAACGCGGTTACTGACCATGAGGTTCCCGATTCGAATTCCAGGTCGGGCCAAAATCAGTTATTGGGTTTTTCTGTCAAGAAATTCTCAGTAACAGTCGAGTCAAGAATTTGGCGGTTTTTCACCCCAGTGCTTTGGAAAGCATGTATAGCCGTTGTTATTACGTTTGATTTCTCTCCGTCCGTGTCGGATTTACCGTCCCATCAGACTGTGAGAGTGACGGAATAGATAATACACCTGTGCTCGCAGATACACTAGGTCACTATAATCCTGTCCTGCGCAGATGACTAGTCTTAACAGACTAATCTAAGACTTGCTGCCGTGACTGAAATTCAGTCACATTATTATTATTATTAAATTAACTCGCTTTCGTGTATGCCAACAAAACAACTAAATTTTTAAAATTTCTCTTTTTTTGAGTAAATACACGTAACGTTGTTATGAAGTCCGCATACACGCACTATCAAATTCATTCCAATCTGAATCACTGAGCGCGCTGGAAATACGATTGATTCAACGTTCAGGGTTCAGTCGTTAGCACCTCTAAATAATTACTTTGCTGATTAATCATGTCGGAGGGATGTACTCATATTTTGACACATAAAGACTATTTCTTCTACAGTAAATCCCTCTTTTACTAAAAAACCATATAAAATAATAACTTACAAGCGACTTCTGTGAGGGTCGAGCCGACAGTGCGGTCGTCGCATGACCAGCAACCGCGGCAGCACGTGGATAAACACACGCCGCACCCACGGCGCCATCGTGTGCGTCTGCGGCGACCGAAAGTGTACATTCAGCACCACCACCGTCACGCAGATGCTGCCGACGCACCAACCACAATTTAACATTGACGTTTTCAAACAAAGCAAAATTTCACCAGATGAAAATTTTCGTTTTTCATTTGCATCCATATACCTAATATAAACTTATTTTTTACTACTTCTTCGCTGATTGTGTAAAGTGGTTTAAATATCGACCAACTGGTATATTAAAACTAAACGCTATTGCCAAAATCTTTAAGAAAATTATATGATAATATTTTCCTTACTTTGAGACCTGTTATTATTGAATAGCAGAATTGATTTCAACAAAAAGATCGACTGACTTAAGTCTAAGGTAAAGGCATCTTATTCCGAAGTGTTCAAAAATAGGCACCAGATTCTGAGGTATTTAGAAAAACTCCGTTTACGAGCTATTTACAAGCTGTTTTTCTACCGACTTCAAAAAGGGGGAGGTACTCAATTCGATTGTATTTTTTTGTGTGTGTTACCTCATAACTTTTCCCTGGGTGAACCAATTTCTATGATTCTCTGTTTTTTAGTGAACGCTGGTCCATTTAAATTTGATTAAGGTCTGACCAATAGTTTTTGAGTTATTCTTAATAATTTAGATTGATATCAGTTTTAGAACATTTTTTGTTTTATATTATTTACTGCAAGATGTCTTATTCATCGATAATATAACATTGCGTAGTCATATCATTAAAGGTCTGAAATAATGTGTATACGTTATAAAATAATAATTTACTTTTGCGTCAGCAGCTGTTTCGAACCCATGTGTCATAGATTTTAAACATTGTGCACTAGGGTGGGTCACTTTTGTATAGAGAAAAAAAAGTTTTTGTTTTTATACGTGCACGCTAGTAAAACGGTGCTAAAATATGAGTTTAAATAGATTTTGAAGTTTCATTGCAATCCGAATAAATTCTGCCTCCAGAGTCGTGTGGAAATTGTCAAGAAATATGGTAAAATAGGGTTAACAGCATGGCACATAAAGTTACACTAATGAACACTATAAATAAAAGGCTTAAATCAACAGTAATTATAGGTTTATAAGAGAGCAAACAACAAAAATAATAAAGAATAATAATTAAAGTGAAGGGTTTAGTTTGTGGTGAAATCCTCTTTGCTGTCGAACTCTGGCGTAGCTTTTCTCTTTTCTCGAGGGCTTTGATAAAAACTTCTGTCATTGTTTTATTGCATAAAGTGGCTGAAGTTATGCTTGTGACACGGAAGGCGTAATAAATCAAATTATACTCCTCCTTTTTGTTGACTAAACAATCGGAGATTTATTTCGGTTACAGATTTTAATTACGGTGGTTCAGTGATATTTTCTTGCCAATTCAATAGATCATAATATGTTAATGCGTTAAACTTTATCTTTGGAAACTGAAATAGACGCAATTTTTTGTGCTAACTATCAAACTCAACGTGCAGTTAATTCACGAATGTGCGGCTGATGGTCTGTCAACATTGCAAGCAATAAGTTTTCCGGGTGAGCGAAATAGCAGTTTCTTTGAATTACTGGCTCAATAACGGCTTATAAAGTTGTTGGTAAATATCTGGTTAGCTCGATGAGTTTAAAAAAGTGTCGCAATCCATCTTTACAGCTAGAGTGTGTTATTTCAGAAAACGATATCAGAACATAAACCATACGTTGCAAGAGTTATTAGATTTTCAAAAGCAGTATCTACTGAAATATAGAGACTGAGGATCATGTTGGCATAAGTTAGCCACCGGGCATGGGACATTTTGCGTGGTAACTTGTTAGCTAAATGCAAATATGCCTGATGAAATTTCTTTTTATTTATTTTTAAAAAAAAACGTTATCCCCACACTAGGATTTTCTCCTATATCGTCGAGGCAGTTTACAAACACAAATTTTACAAGGACAAACATCCAGACCCGGAACAATCATTTGTAGGCCATACAAATACTTGTTCCGTGCGGGATTAGAACCCGCGCCCCCCAGCGCAGCAACTCATTGCTAAGCCACTGTGCCACGGAGCCGTCTTTGATTGATTCTACTATTCTAAATAAGTATTTCTGATCTGTACTAATCTTATCTCTATCTATCTAATCTGATGTTAAATTTTTAGCGAAAAGCACCGGCAAGTTTTCCGAAAAAGGTTGAAACTGAGTTATAGGTCTTGTCTCACAGTTCTCAAGTTCTTTGTCAATTTTCCTTGAATATGTTTGTAGACCAGACATACTGCCATCAATGTGTTGGAGCAGATGTCTTAATGGCAGTTCATTCATGTGAAAAAAACAAATAATCCACTGTAAAGTTCTATCCAATCTTCTTTGTAGCATCCGTATAACATCTCAACATTTAAATTTATTCCATGACATCCATTGATACATTTGGATTCAAAAAACGTTTAATATTTCTTATTCTAAACACTTTGCAGTGCCTGAAGTAGGTGTAATGTAACCTAAAATCTTCGAGTTAGGTTCTTTTATCAAAGAATTATGCTTTTCAAGTATGCGTCGTCTATACTTTCCCATATTTTTCAGACATAATCAAAGTTTTATCTTTTCTTTCATCGAAGTATAATGCTGATGTTTGTGAAACAGTTTTATGTGAAATTATATTTATTTGAGTTTTTTCGTTCTCGGCGAAGCTTACTTTTGTCTATTACTTGATAACTCTACCCATATAGAACTGCTGATGTAATTGCTGCTCTTGCCCTATCTGACAGTCCAAATCTATCGCACGATTTCTAAAGCAAAGCAAAATCAACTGCAGTTGTTGTATTACTCAATAAATTAGTACTCGAAGTCGGCAAATGAATCTCGGTTGATTCCACACAATCCCAACGGAGGTTAACACATTCGGATTCAGATGTGCTACTCAACTCCTCCATACATATTTCTGCAACTTTTTTGTTATTTGCTCTCAGATTTTTTAGCGCGATACTGATTGTTTCACCAGTAAATCAACCGTCACTTGTATCTAATTCCCCCGTACCCTAACTGTCTACTCCTTTGTCCTTGAACTCAATCAATTAATGTCATTTTTATAATTACTAAACTATTATCAGTAAAGTAATGTCCAGAAATTCATTGGGGGAGTATATTGTCATAGTTACCACGTTGGGTGAGCGGGTTGGCAACTGCAGTTTTTTTATCGTTGTTTTACTGTTATCAAAAAGATGCTGCTACCCATCTTCTACCTCAGTTTCCCTCTGTTCTTCTTACGATACCCACGGGAAGATATGGAGTAGTGGGTATTCTTACCCGACACTACACGGGGTGTGTGCAACCAGTGCGTGTTTTGGCAGTGATGACTTATGGAACTGAGAGGTGGTCCTTCATGTCTCAGTTCCATAGGTGACGTAACCATATGAGGAGATGATGAAGATGGAGCTATGGAGCTATGAAGAGAGCTATGCTTGGAGTTTCTCTGCGTAATAAACTTAGAAATGAGGATATCCGCAGTAGAACCAGACTGGCCGACATAGCCCAACCTATTAGTAAGCTGAAGTGGCATGTAGCTCGAAGAAACGACAACCGGTGGGGAAAAAAGGTTCTCGAGTGGCTGCCTCGTACCAGCTACTAGATGGAGTGACGGCTTGGTAAGACTTGCAGGAAGTCAATGGATGCAGGTGGTTCAGGACCGTGCTAAGCATTCCTTGGGGGAGGCCTATGTTCAGCAGTGGAATTGTGATGGGCTTTGTGAAGATGATGATGAATGTCAAAAACTTACTTTTTTAAACAGTTTTGTGACAGACAATTTAGAATATAAATAAAAATTTAATAGCCTAGCCTATTATCAATTTGAAGAGCAGAAACAATATTGGTTCTTATAAAAATATCCAAATCTTCAAAAGGGTATAGATGCTCAATTTTCGATCTCCTTTCGAGTTTTAGTCAAAATACCGTGGAAATAGATGCCTTTACCTTATGTGGGTTTACACACTTTTTTGCTCTAGCAATGAATCAAGGCTGATTTAATCAAGGTTGATGTTTCACTTTACTTTAATAGTTAAATACTTTAATAGTTAAATTTAATTTAAAGTTTAATAAATTTGAAGTAATTGATATACACGGTTACCGTTTACGTTGGATAGAATCTTATTAACGCGAAAGAAGTCAGGCCCAGTCCCATTGCTTTACATCAGGGCATCAATCTTGGCCCTCTCCTAATTAATTTATTTATTGATGATGTTAAGTCAGTATTCCATATTTCTGAAATACTACTTTATTGTTCAAAGTATTAAATCGGCCTCTGGCTGCATTTTCGTGACTCTCTTTACTGAGAAGATTTTTGATCAAGGAAGTGTCCAATACGCTGCCCCAATGAATACTTTAACACTAAGATGAAATGGTTACTAATAAAAAGGGTCTCAGATTCTCGTCACTTTCACTAAATACAAACTCGGCAGCGTTATTGAGGTATTTTATGCTAAAATTCTATGACAACGGCGCCCATCTCAGTCAAATTAACCCCATCATACTGCAGCTATAATAAGCTGCAGTATGATTTTCTCTATTACGTTTTACTGGTTCGAATATTAATGGGACTACATTTTTTCGAAGAATATTAAATAATATATTGAGTAAATCCAATTATAATGTATTTACTTTATTGATACTTAAAGCAATAGCCATAATTTAGGCTAAACTTATCACCTTCCTGCCACTGGGATTAATGTGGCGTCATTTAGACTTTTGTAAATAATCATAAATGACCATTTGTTTTATCAATTTTTCCATTTCACAAAGAATCACTCCTGGCATTGTTCCCTATCTACTCTTGAAGTTTTATCACAATTGGTTCAGATATTCCGAAGATTAAGCCTTATTCATAACCGTTATTCATGGCTTAAAGGTATGCAAATAACCCTCTGTACTCGATAAAAAGCAATCATTTTGATATCACTGACAGGCTTTTCAATTTTATTTATATAAGTATAGATTATAATAATAAAAGTAAGTACTCACCTAAAAGTATCTAAAATCATAGTGAAGAGCACGAATTTGCCCAGCAACGGAACGACGAGGGACGTCGGTGGGATTATTTCGGCGAGTAGAAGGAAAAATACAGTAAGTGAGAGGAGAATGGAGATGGAGAGCGACACCTTTTCGCCGCTATCCGATGGAAGATAAAAAACAAGTACTGTGAGAAATGAGATTCCCATACAAGGAATGATGAGGTTTACTGTATAAAACAACGTCTTGCGCCGCATAGTGATATTAAATGTAATGTCCAGGTACGGCTCATCGCAGCACGTATAGAATTTTTCGTTCCTGTGTGGAAAAATTGCCGATTACTATACAACTTAATTTCTAAAAAAGACTAATTAACAATATACTTTAGTAATTTTAGTTAAATTTTATCTGAATTAGAAGATTGATCGAAATATTTTTGCGTTATGAATTTTTCTGCTTATAGCACAAAACATTTGTAAAATAGCTTTATGCTATACGCAGAGCAATAATTCGGAACAATTAAATATAATTGGCATTAAAACCTGACGGCAGGCACTTCGAGGATGTCCCACTCTACAGAAGTGTAGAACTCAGAGAGGTCAACACCGAGCTCCACAACATTAGTCCCACGGACTTCGTCAATGTGCCGGAGATCTACCTGATAACAAAAACAAAACAACGATAGAATTACGATACTAACAATCCAACCTAACATCCTATATCATCACGTAAGTGTCTTAAATGGTGACTACGAGCTATGCAAAAATAGTCTTATTGCTTCTGATCGATGACGGTATCTATTTACGCCTGGCATAAACCATCTCATTTACGCCTGGCGTAAAATACTCAGACCAGCGACGGTAAGCAGCATCAAAGATGCCAAACATTTGGCACTGCGCTCACCAATATACCTACCAAGCGTTACGCTTGTGGTAAATTCTCCCTAAAATGGGAGAGGTCCACGATCAGCATTAGACTTGTATGGGTGGGTAAAATATACAAAAAATAACCTAACATTATGTGCAACTTGTGTATGGACAAGACAAGTCTCTATGCAGAGGGATTTATTTTTACCTGACTGTCCTATGTTTATTTCTTTGGCACGCTCTGTGACCTTAAACGGCTTAACATGTTTTTACATATGGGTTGTCGTTAGATCTATCTCAGCTGTGGAAATTACATAAGATATATTTTTTTCAGTTAACTTTTTTCGCAGTCGCGATTTTTAAAATACTGTTTTAACCATTGGGATTGTTGACCAATGTGTCACTGTAGTTTGTGTTCAATAGATTTATTTATTTATTATTGATATAATTATTAATCGTTTATTATTAGTAAACTCTTTCTTACTAAATATAATATTTACTTATAGAACAAAAATAAATATTAAATGTAAATAAGTCTTCAATTACCTGAAATCCGTCATATGTCCATGAACCAAATTTCATGACACATGTCTGCTGATCAAATGGAAAATATTCCACGTCGATTTCACAAGAGGATTTGTAAATGGCGGGCGGACGCCACTCCACGCGGCCTGTGTAGTTCAGCGTCGCCTTTGTAGCCAGCGTCACCTCGAAGTTTCCGTCAGCACTGTACACAATTCATAACATACAGTTACTTTTAAATATTTTTTTTGATTTTAATGATTAATCATTAATATCTTTTTTGTATTGTAATTACATCAATTTATACATATATCCATGTGACTCTAGCTTCTAAAATAAGTTAACCTGAGTAACCAAATAGTAACCATTAGTAATAGAACTAAGCAATCTCACTTGTTGTATAATACTATATCAGGCCTCCAGATATGGTCGGACGGCACGTGTAGCATCTCAACACCTCCGTACTCTCGAGGCTCCCAAGACAGCTTATAATCGTACCAGCTCTGTAAAGAAGAAATGTCATTAGTTTGTTATCCCCCAGCAAGATATTAATCTAATTAAAATATGCGAACCTGCTCCACCCATAGATTTGTTGTCATAATCTGATTCTTCAGATTCTGTAAATCGTTAAACATAGTTTTAGTGACATAATTTAAAACGTATTTAAACGTGAAGGTTGTCTAAACTCACGACATCTATGAGCTGGCTGAGTTTTAGCTTAATGCGCACTGTTAGTGCGTCGCTGACGTTGAGCACGGGCCGCACGAGCTTATTGTAGTTGCTCAGCAGGTCGTCGTATAGCCGCTTCGCGTCCGGGTTACCGGCGCAACCTGCAAACAAATTTCTTTACTGATTTTTTTTATCTTGAACAGGTTTCAAAAATGTTGTGTGTGATCCGTCGATTGATAATACCCATGTACGTTTTGGAATAACGTTTACTGTTCAATCCTCTCTGCAGCTATGTTATGGTTGTACTCTCATAGAATACCAGCGTTAAATTGCAGTCTAGTGTTGTAGTGTTTCATATGGCAAGTGTAGAGAACCGGAGAACCATTGCAATAGAAATATGTATTCCATCTTAGTCCTCCGGGGTGACAACTCATCTGCATTTTGATTCGTATTTAAAAAAAAATATGAAGATGTTAATGAGCCACAGTATCCACTTACCATCGCGTGAACTGTGTGCTCGTTTGTCACCCTTATTCTATAAAAAATATCAAAACTTGTAATTCATTTTAGACTTGTTTAACCTCTTATGAGTATGGTTATGGTTCGCAAAAACAAGAACTTTTCAAAAAAGAACCGCCATGAAACAGAAATAGGCGATATTTTTTTAAGTGCTCTACAAATTCCACTTTCATTTACAACTGTTGATGAATTTAAACGTAGTGATTATATTATCTTTGGCTAAAATCAATACAATGTCAAATGTCTATTAATGTATTTGTTAAAAAAAATACAGAGTAATACTAGGAGTGATTTAGGCTATATTTTATCTGAAAATCATACATGATTATTTTCATGACATCGAAAGACTGATAAAATTAATGATTTTTGATAATTATCTCATAAATATTATCTCATAATTTATTTTCTATCCCCACAAGATACACAAAATAGATTTAAAAACATTTTAATGAATGATGTTCCGAGTTCTAATAATGTTAGTACTAACAGTATTGGAACTCGGAACATCCACATACATCCTCAACTCGGAATATTTTTCATAATAAATGTGTTAAAGAATGAAATGAAAATTTGCACATGTCAAGACCGCCGTTGCTAAAACTTTATCTTGTTATAATAGTTTAAAAAGCCGTGTCTGAAGCAAGCGTTGGAAGGTGACCGTTTTATCGCGTATGGTCAGAAAAACCAACTGAGCTATTATTATTTAAATTTTAGAGTTTGAAGGCTCCGTCGCACGCTTGCCGTTAGGGCCCTGAGGACCGCGGGTTTGAATTTCGCACGAAACAAGTACTGATATTTATTCTTCTACAATTTATATGCGTGAACAATACAGGAGTAAAGCTAAATCTTACTGTGGGATAACGTTAAGAAAAAACAAGTTTATTTTTATTAAAGTCGTTTGTTTTTAACTTATATTATAACATATTATTTTTTTTTAGTTTCAAAGCGAGTGGATATCCAGATCTAGTTTAAAAACATTAAACAACAATCCTAACATAATCAGACTTTAGAAGTGACATAATCTGACACCTGCTTTCTAAAATCAGGTAATGTGACGTACTCGTATTCGTAATTTGGCGCTATAGAGGCTCAATAGAAAATAACACTCCATATTCTTTTATTCTTCGAAATACTGTCGAGGAACACTCGGTTGGAACGAAGTTCCTTGGGTAGTATATTATTATTGATACACGTAGGTATTATATTATTGATTAACAAATACAAATAAGTGAATTACTAGCATCTACTGAAATGAAGCGTCATTTGAAATAAAATAACATTTTTGTCATGGCCAGAAAAGGAAAAGTGTGAGGGAGATGGATATTATTCCCACAGTGACGAAAAAAATCTTACACTTTTTGTTGTCTAGCTCCCATCCACCAAACCCGTAGGGGAGAGTGGGGCAAGACGGGGTGCGGGGCAAGACGGAGTGACCGATCTTGAGCGCGAACGAAATAGCCAATCAGGATCGTTTTAGCAGCTGACGTCGCGCCGCCATTACGGCAATCAGTCATCGAAGTGAGCGGACAAAGACTCCACGCGTTTTATTTGTTTTCTGGAAAAAACTTTTTTGACAAATAGCTAGTGATTTTTCTATACTATATAGGGCGTGTAATTTCCGTAAATAATAACACCTCGGAATTGATTTAAATGGTATCAAATGGGACAATAACTACACTAACAGGTAAGAACTTGTTTTTCTCTGTGCTGCGTATTGGTTTTATTAAGTATTTTTTTAAATTTGATTCGGCATGCGGGGGCAAGATAGGGTCGGTCGGTCGGTCGGGAACCCCATCTTGCCCCTTAGCCTTTGCAAGCGGCGTATAAATGTCTAATTTACTGTGTATTTTGTTCTAGAATGGTGAGAAATTATAAAAAAAAAAAACAAGTAGAGGGGATTGGTCAGAAGAAAGTATGAAAGATGCTGTGAAAAATGTGGTTGAAGGAAAAATTGGCTACAAGCTTGCAGCAAAATCATTTTCTGTCCCACAAACAACTTTAGAAAGAAAAGTGAAGCTTGCGCGAGAAAGTTTAGATAAGAATGATCCAATGACTGTTAAATTTAAGGTACCGTTAGGCCCAAAAGAGAAAGTTTTTACTGATAATGAAGAGGAAGAGCTATGTAAATACATAATAGATATGGAGAGTAGGCTTTATGGACTGACAATGAAAGACTTAAGAGGTTTAGTCTATAGACTAGCGGTAAAAAATAACAAACGTCATCCGTTTAACAATGAAAAAGAAGAAGCCGGGAAAGACTGGGCATTAGGATTTTTAAAAAGGCACCCAGAACTGTCTATTAGACAGCCTGAAAGTACCTCATCCGCACGTGCTGCTGGTTTCAATAAACAGGTGGTAGACCAGTTTTTCAATTTTTTGGGCAATGTTTACGATGAACATCATCTAACACCTGATCGTATATACAACTGCGATGAAACTGGTATTTCAGTTGTGCCCAAAACCAAATCAAAAATTATCGCAAGAAAGGTCAGAAAGCAAGTGGGAGCCATAACATCTGCTGAACGAGGTACGACCATTACAGTAGAAATCTGTTTTAGTGCTAGTGGTAATTTTATGCCACCCATGATGGTATATCCTAGAAAAAGAATGGATCCGCAACTTATGATTAATGCTGCCCCCGGAGCTTGGGGAGTTTGCAGTGATTCGGGCTGGATGACTTCAGAACTTTTCCTAGATTGGTTTAAAAAGTTCGTCAAATTTAGCGGAGCAACACCTGAGCATTCTGTTTTGTTATTATTGGATGGACATAGTACTCATACGAAGAACATTGATCTCATAAATGAAGCACGCACTCACAGCGTTATCATTTTATGTTTCCCACCACATACAACTCACCGTCTTCAGGTTGCAGACGTTGCTTACATGAGACCGTTAAGTACCTACTACGATCATCAAATCATGGCGTGGCTTCGCAGCAACCCAGGGATGACTGTCACTGTCCGACAAGTAGCTGAAATTTTTGGAAAGGCGTTCATACAAGCGTCTACGATGTCAACAGCTGTCAATGGTTTTAAGAAATGTGGGATTTGGCCATATGATCCAACAGTATTCTCTGAGACCGACTTTGCTCCATCTTTGATGACAGATATTCAGCTTAATGTATCCGACGCACCTGCAAGCGATAATAGTTCGTTGATAATGGAATCGTCATCCACAGAACCAGCAACAAATAATCAGAATGCGCCAATTATATCTGAAGCCATTTCTGTTGCGGCAACTTTGACGGATGCAGCAGTGACGCCAGTAACAGTGGAAACAGAAACATTGTCGAGACTTGATACTGCCGCTAGTATTTCTGCGAGTACGTCACTATCAACTAATCTGGTTACTGCACTTACTGTGCTACCTAATACAATGTCAACCCCTGAACCAGGATGTTCTTACTGGCTCGATAACTCCGATCTACACGAAAGACCACGAACTCCGCAGCAATCAATATTTGGTGTCGTAAGTCCGCAGCAAATAATGCCCTTTCCAGCAACTACAAAAACATCTCGCTCAACTAGAAAACGAGGAAAAACCGCGGTGATCACATCTTCGCCGTATAAGAATGAGTTAGAAGAAACGATTAAGAAAAAGGAACAAGCGGAAGAGGATAAACAGAGAAAAAAAGGGTTGAGGGAACTTAAAAAATCTGAAAAAGACCCGGCAACTAAGAAGAAAAGAGTAACAAAGAAGAAACAAGGGGCTAAGAATAGATCATTAAACGAGAATAGTGACAGCGATATTGAAAATACACCTTGTTTGTATTGTAAAGGCCTATATTTGGACTCAAATGAAGGCTGGGCTGCTTGTTCAGCATGCGGCAAATGGGCTCACTGCAGCTGTGCAGGTGTGGACGACGAAGATGCAGATACCGTGTTCACTTGTGAACATTGTGAACAGTCCTAAATAGTCGTTTGCTGCGTACCCCATCTTACCCACGGGGTACCCTATCTTACCCTAGGGGTGGGGCATGATGGGGTGAATGGTGTATTTCTACTTTTTGATTTTTTTTTAATTTTATTATGTTGATAAGACTGCCAAATACTCGTTAACAATGAAGACTGATTATCTAAGAAGATTATAAGAATAAAACAAATTAATAAAACTCTTTACGGTCAATTTTATTTAACATCAAACCTTAAGGACCCCGTCTTACCCCACTCTCCCCTACCTACCGTCCAATAAGGAACTTCTTTCCAAAAAAACAGTACCTAACATTAAATAAAACTATTTTTACGGATTCTACCGCGTTTATTTAAATGGTTTTTTATTGATTCCCGACGTTTCGGGTACTTTACAGTACCTAACAATAAAAATAACAAAAACAGTCAAGAGAACGCAATCAAAACAAATACTTTGAGCGCATCAGGGTTGCGGTACTGGAGGATTGCTATAACAAAAATCGGGACTGATTTAAAGATATATTTTTTAAATACGGTTCACGAATATGCAAGCATATTACATATTTTTAGCATATTACATTCTATTATATTCATACCTATGTCATGAGATTATAATAGAATGTTACAGAATGGAACAGAACGGGACAAACCGGAATAGAACGATACAGAACTTATCAGAAAACAATATAACGTAGAAATATAACAGAATTGAACAGAGTAGAACAGATTAGAACGGAATAGAACAGAATAGATTAGAATAGAATAGAATATCGTTACGCAAGTTAACGATATTTCGTGCAGTGTGTGCATAAGGCAAGGATTGTAAGTACCAGCGAACAGCAGCGCCAGCAGCAGCGCGGTGGCCGCGGGGGCGGGCGGAGCGCGGTGGCGCATCCCGCGCGCATGGCGTCAGCGCATCGCCCCCGCGCCGCTCTGCCGCTCCCTGCCGCTCCCTGCCGCTCCCTGCCGCTCCCCTGCTGCCGCGCCCTCCCCTAACTGCCCTGCCTCTCCGGCTTCCGACAACTGCTCTTGCTCTCTTATATCTTTGCTATTCTTCCTTCGCCTATCACCACCTGTAGTAACAAATGATATATTAATGTAACTGAGAGGTCTTGGTAGAGGCTAAGCGTTTTGAGCGTCGTGGGTTTGAATCCCATGCTGAACAAGTGTTTGTATGACGATCAAAAGACGTGAAAAAAGGCGATTCACAATTCAACTGTTCTACTAATTAAATATATTCTTATTTGTATGTATGTTATACGGTGTCTTCCTCAATTGTGAACCGATTTGTATTAATATTTTCTGTTATATAAAAAATATTGTGGCAGGATAGGATATAAACTTTTTTTATGTGAGTGTATAGGCGATTCTGATATTCCTTAGTCCACTTAAAAGCGTAAAAAAATTACTTTTAATAAAACCTAAAAGCTGAGTTAAAAGAATAAAATAATTTCACATTCTGAAGTCCGAGGTTTTTTTCTACTCATTATGTCTTAGCACCGCCTTCAGACTTTGTAAAACGTGATTTTTTTCGGAATCTGGATGTTAATCCATATTATGCAAATTATGTATGAAAACACCTCCACGATAGGAGATAACATCACTATTAAATAACGTTTTATTTTAATCAAAAAAGAATATATTAACTTAGCATGGTGATGATGACTATACCTAGGACCACGTTCTTACAGAATACCTAAAACCTAAATGAAGTAGCCGCTCAATACTTCTATTTTTCATATGATGAGTGTAGAGAACCGAAAACCCTTTTAACTGGAAACGAGGCATTCTCTCTTAGTCCTCAAGTATCACAACGCATCGTCATTCTTAATCGAGGACAAATGTAAATGTCTATGTGCCACAACATCCACTTACCATCACGTTGACTTAGTACTCATTTGTCAACTGTATTCTATAAAAAAATAGCAATAGATCACACGTCCTCAACTCCAACTTCAGTATCCTGTCAATGAGCCGCTAGCTAATTCTAGCGCTAGAATGAGACCGCCGCGCTATCTCTATGCGCGTTAGCTGACTTTACATGTCTGCGAAATATTTTTTTTATATTACTCACATATTTAAATTCCTTCACGATCAGCACTTAAAATTGTTACCTGAGTTACTCAGGTGCTATGTAATTTATAGCGAGATTCAAGCCCCTGAACTACCTCAGCTTCTTAGCTTCGTATGTCTGTATTCGGTAATAACTGTATGATCAGAGTAATATCTCTATACAAGATGCAGGAGTGTACAAGCTTGATTGTGTATGTAGCCTCTCTTACATAGAAAAAACGAAAAGATCCTTATAAACCCACGTAAAAGAAAATATAGCTGATGTTAAACATCGACGCTCCTCGAAGTCTGCTGTATGTTGAACCGTTTTATTAGATTTGATAGACCATAAATCCTCGCAAAAGAACACCGATTCCTACAAGACATTATTCGTGAAGAAATTGAAATTTAAAAAAAATATCCTTTTCAGTAGATAAGATGGCTGTGTGCTACCATCTGCTTGAGATCTCCTAATCACTATATATACGGACCAAAGTTAATATTTAAAGTTGAAGGTAGTCTTCGTTAACTATAAAGTTTAATAATATAAGCTAGGCATTAAATATAATTTAATGCCTAGCTTATATGCCTGAATTAACACGTCTCTTATTATTTTACAAATCTTGAACATTTTAAATATAATGATAATGCCTTCCAGACCAAATTTCGGCCACGGTGGCCATTCTCATCGCTATTTCCTGACTCTCATAGACTAAATGAAACATTTAATTCATTTTCGAAGGTAAGTATAATTGAGATGCATGAACTAATTAGCATTTTCCTTGTTTTAATGTACATACTACACAACACGAGTAACGTGCAGTTTCGTGGTCACTTGGAAGAGAAGGCCAAATTGGCCTCTAAAAAGCTTGGCGTGCTCAGCAGAGCGGGACAGTATTTCATGCCGGCTCAACGCCTGCAACTTTACAAGGCGCAGGTTCGGCCTCACATGGAATACTGTTCCCATCTCTGGGCTGGGGCTCCCCAGTGCCAGCTCCTTCTACTTGACCGCATCCAGCGCAGAGCGGCTCGAATCGTCGACGACCGAGTCCTTTCCGATCGGCTCGACTCATTGGCACTGCGAAGAGATGTTGCATCTCTTAGCATTTTCTTTCGCATTTACCATGGGGAGTGCTCTGAGGAATTGTTCGGATTAATCCCAGCCGCAAAATTTCACGAACGCACATCGCGGCAGAACTCCCGATACCATCTTCACCATCTGGATGATTGGCGGTCCACCACTGTGCGATTTAGAAGATGTTTTCTTCCTCGCACAACTTCCTTGTGGAATAGTTTACCACCAGCGATTTTTCCGGACCGATACGACTTAGGGAACTTCAAGAAAAGAGCCTACTCCTTTTTAAAAGGCCGGCAACGCATCTGCAATTCCCCTGGTGTTGCGGTTGTTCATGGGCGGCGGTAGTCACTTACCATCAGGTGAGCCGCATGCTCGTTTGCCCCCTCTCCTATAAAAAAAAACTCCGCACCCATTCGACGGAAAAATCGAAATAATACTTTCGCAATTCACTATTATTTTTTAACTCTATGTTTAATTTTACGTTTTTCTCATTTTAAAATATTGTTTTATTTTAGTAAGCGTTATAATAATTTAATGGAGAAAATCAATTTAAATTTTTAATAAAGAAATTTAGTTCTATTCACAATTTTAAGCGGTTTTCACTCCACTTTGAGCGAACTTTGCTTGACGCCAATCTATTCTGATAGGAAACGTTAATGAGATCTTGGAGAGTGAGTTTAATAGCCTTTTAAAGCGCTTTCCTGGTGCCTAAAAGAGCACTCTATTTTTATCAAAAATGCGGATGCTGAGAAAAATTTGCAATTCATAGCAATTTGGTATCCCGGATATATTAAATTTCTAATATCGGAAATTGATATTGACTTAGTGATATACTTGTATGTGAAGTAAGGTACAAAAATTTACATGGTGATAAGATGTACATAAATTATAAATTTTTCTTGCAGTAATATAATAATTGGTAATAAGAATTGACAATTTAAACAATTAAAAATGGGTGTAGGATCACACTCTCACAGAATACCAGGGTAAAATAGCAGCATAATGCTGCTGTGTTTCGTATGGTGAGTGAAGAGAATAGGAGACTTTTTTACTGGAAACGAGTCGAGGTAAACGCATATATATTATGATTTTTAATGGAGGGGCCTGTACGCTCATTTGTTACTCTTATCCTATAAAATAACATGGGTGCAGTTCACATGTGGTAGAAGTGAAACCTCCTAATGTAATGAAATATAATATAAAAGTACACAATTACAATCGCGGCATAAAATAAATATAAGATAAAAGTTTAATTTTATAGCAAGTAAGTGTTACAATCTTAGGCTTAATTTTAGTGTTATTAAAATTACTTTGTAATAGCGGCATCTGCTTCATACTATAGATAAAGTAATTTTATCGAAGAAAAATTGATACAAAAGTGGTACAAAAGATATGCGCTAGATGACATAAATACGAATAATTTAATATAAATCGGTAAGCCATAAAATCGTGGATTTTTCTGGATGAATTGGATACGATAATTTTATTCAATATGGTAAATTATATTTATTTAATATATTTGTTTAATTTAACAGTTAAAGTTCATATTAATCATCTTTAAAGCACCGCGCAAGAGGAGACTGAAATCATAGGAAACACTATTCTTTTAAATACTAACAACATTATTAACATTACTTTAATTCATTTCAATCATTATTGGTAAGTATATAAATAAAATATGCGTGTGATTCGAACCCGCAACCTTTCGAAATCGCGGTCTGCATCCTGCCATTAGGCTACTGTCGCATAATACACTGTATTTTATCTCATTCTCTCGCAGGCTAAAGCAGTGTTCTTAATGCCGCTTTTTCATTTCATCCAGTTTCAAATCATAACGCTACTAAAGAACTTTTCACTTCCAAAGAAAATTTAAGTATTTCCATAAATATTGTAAGTTTTTATTTCTTTATCACGAGTATAATATGCGTAGCGAGTGCTGTTCGCTGCACAACTTCAATAATCAAATCGAAACGTTTCATGTTCAAAATAAAGCCAAGTCTCGTGATTCTTTCAATCTCAACAAACAATGAAATCTAACGTATAACAAAGTATATATTCCTATTACGAGCTCTGGTAATTTAATTTTAGTGTCATTCTCAAGTTTTATTTTATTTTATTGCACGCGTGTGGAATACGATAGAAAAACAATAGCTGCGAAAATTAAGCTAAACCGTGCATCATTCTGACACACATATGGTACTCGTATATAGAATTAGTACAGTAAATCTGATTTTGATTATTATTATAATTAAACTGGAACATAGATGTGAGTAAAGTACTGTTGGGCGTAGAAACAGCTAAGATGCTAAAAGGTATTTGTCTGCCTACTTCTAGGTGTCAGGATTGGTAACATTAAAAATTTTCTAGGCATATAAGGAGCGGTATCACTTGTAGACCTCCTCTAAATGTAATTATAACAATGTAAAACAACAAATAAAACAAAATATAACTTTGATGTAATGCAATCTAAAGACTTTTTCCGCATATAATATAAAAACTTCTGATATACAAACATTTAAAGTGTTTCTAAAATAAATTGACCTCTATAATGCGTCACTTTACAGATGTATAAATATTGTACAAGAGAAATATGTATAGTTACCGATACAATGTTCGTTAAAATGAATAACACTCGTTAACTAGGTTAGATCCTATTTACCCGAGCATCGAGTCGTGAATAAAATATATAGACAGCGATTTATGTAGATGCAGCTTAATGTTCTTCATTAACACACTGGCTTTCTTGCTGGTCTAGTAGACGTAAACGCCATTGCTTATCGTAAGACCCCAGGTTTGAATCTTGGTAAAAAAAAATTGTGAATTTGGTACTACGCTTAATCTC